CCAGCCCCATGAGGTCATAGCTAGCCCAGAGGGAGGAAGGAGGGCTATAGGATCCAGAGGGAAATCAAAGAGGGCTTCCTGGAGGAGGACACATGGGAATTTAGAGGGCGATGGAAAGGAGGACACTTGAAACTCAGGGAACAGACTATGCAAAGGTTCAGAGGCTGGAATCTGGGAGGGGTGGAAGTTGGAGTGTGGGGGGAGACGAGGCTAGTGGGCGGGTGCCATCTAAAGGGAAATACACAGGGGAGGATGGATCAGAGCTCCGGGTAGTAAGACCCTCCTGGGGTCAGCATGGAGGGGTTGAGACTTAAGGTCAGGAGGCCAGCCATTGGGCTGTGGAGACAGACGAATAGACACGACCACAGCTTGGTGCAGTGGCTCACGCCTGTAATAGCAGCCGTTTGGGAGGCCGAGGTGGGTAGATCGCTTGAGCCCAGGAGTTCGAGACCAGCCTGGGCAACATGGCAAATCCCTGTCTCTATTAAAAAAAAAATTGGGGGACATGGTGGCGTGCACCTGCAGTCCCAGCTACTCGGGAGGCTGAGGTAGGAGGAGCTCTTGAGCTTGGGAAGTCAAGGCTGCAGTGGGCCATGATCGTGCCACTGCACTCTAGCCAGGGCAACAGAATAAGAGCCTGTCTCTAAAATAAATAAATAAAAAACAGACACCACTACTACCTGACCATGATGCATGGACTGAGGGGCCAGGGTTCTTACCCAGCACCTTCTTCTGAGCTGCTGTAACCTTCCTGCTGCTGCCCATCCGGGACACAAAATGCTAATTGCCTACGGTATCCCTTTTCTCCTTCCATAGCAACATATTTTTAGCTGTGCCTAGGGTTGAACAGCCTAGGACTACATTTCCTAGCCTAGGACTACATTTCCCAGCCTAGGACTACATTTCAATCCCTTGCAGCTAGGTGTTGGCCACATGTCTAAGTTCTGGCCAATGAGATGTGCCTGAACTCTCTGCCCCTTACCACCTTTTCCTGGTTGGAATGAAGATGCAATGGTGAGCCTAAAGCAGCCATTTGGGGCCACAAGGTCAAAGCCACATGGAGAGAGAGGCAGAGCAAGATGGAAGTTGTATTAGGCCCTGGTGACTTTGGAAGGTTCATGGCAGGCCCAGGTGTCTACATTGATGTTGTCAGGGGATAGGAGATAAATGTGGATCTTGTTTAGGCCACTGGCCTCTGGGCTTCCTTTCTCACCCTCAGGCCACCCGCCACTCACCTCATTGGACTGGCGGATGGTCCGCAGTGGAATCCACACTGTGCCCACCATTGTGTCCCAGATGAGGCCCTTGTTCCACACCTCCACCGTCAGTCCCAAATCCAGACGGTTAATCTCACTGTGGAAAAAGGACAGGGGACATCGAGGGAGAAAATGGGGTCTCAGAGAGGTTAGTTCATTCATTTGAGAACACACAGCATACCACAATTCAAACTGAGGACTGGGAGTGTCCTAGCTGATATGATAACATGGTGGTTCTCATTTTATAGAGGGGAAACTGAGGCCAGTGAGGGAAGTTAAGAGCTCGAGGTATCACAGAAGGACTAGGATTGAAAGCCAGGGAGGACGGCGTGGAGACAGATGTGACACATCGACTGCAACTTCATCTCTCTGGGCCTTCCTTGAGCCCTCCAACCCTGACTATGCTGGCCAAGTGGGGAAGAGGATCAGATACCTCCACAGCTCCCTCTACCCCCAGGATAAGGACATTCAGGGACCTCTGTTCTTCCCATTGTCATCTCCAACTCATGAGGTGAGGACGCGATCCCACCTCCAAGCACTTTCCCTGCAGGCCTCGTCTTAGACATATGTTGATTCAGGGGCGCAGGAAACTTGGCGAAATGTGAGATTCACTGAATTTACAGTTTACCAAAGATTTATCTTAAGGAATGTATTTTAAAAATATACCTGTTGACTGGGCCTGGTGGCTCACATCTGTAATCCCAGCACATTGGGAGGCTGAAATAGGCGGATCACCTGAGTCCAGGAGTTTGAGATCAGCCTGGCCAACACAGTGAAACCCCATCTCTCCTTAAAATGCAGTTAGCCTAGTGTGTTGGCACACTCTTGTAATCCCAGCTACTTGGAAGGCTGAGGCAGAAGGATCACTTTAATCTGGGAGGTGGAAGTTGCAGTGAGCTGAGATCTCGCCACTGCCCTCCAGCCTGGGGAACAGAGTGAGACTCTGTCTCAATCAAACAAACAAAACAATTGGTGGCGAGGCCTGGGAAGGCGTGATGCCCTGAGATTGTAGCTTGCGGGTGGTGGTCAGGGAGGGCTTCACTGAGGAGGTGACACAAGCTGAGACCTGAAGAAGAGCCAGCTGAGGACTGGAGAGCAAGTGCAAGGGCCCTGGGGCAGGAACAAACTGGGAGGTGTTGGAGAAAGAGGTAGGTGTGGGTGTGGCCGGGGCAGGGGAGTGAGACGGAGATACAGCGAGAAGGTGGCGGGAACCGTGGGGAAGACTATGGGTTTTATTCTGAGGTCGATGAGCCACGGACAAGTTTGGAACATGGGAGCGACAGGATGTGATTTGCAGTTTTAAAAATATCCCCCTGGCTGCCTGGAGGAGAACAGATTGTGGGAGGTGGATAGCACAGGAGGCCAGGGCGGAGGCTGGCGGGCAGCGGGGACTTGGCTGGTGGCCGCGAAGACCAAGAGAAGTGATTGGCTTGGGAATGTGTTTTGGAGGTGGAGGAGATAAGGTGGACACAGGATGAGGGAGGCTGGAGGGGAGTCGCCTGGGCTTCCCTGGTGTCCAGTTCTGCCCCGAGGGGCCAGCGAGGTGCTGGGCTATGCCAGGGGCCGGGGCCATGCCAGAGGCTGCAGACTCACAACATGAAATCCTGCTCCCAGCTGGGCTGGCTGCCCCGCACGGCGATGGTCGTGCTCTTGACATTCTGCACTTTCAGGGTCACGTACGTGTTGAATTTCTCTGTGGCAGTGAGAGCAGGGGTCAGCACTGGGGCTCAGGGGCTCTCCAGTGCCCCTTTCCAAGCTCTAGACGACCTGCTGGGACCCCCTTGGGAATTTCTGGGCCACTCACCTTCTAACCCCCAACCTCACCCTCAGGGCACAAGGGAGGGGCCTCAGTGTGGGGAGATGTGGAGTTTTGGGATGCTTCATCCAGCTGCCTCAAAATCACTACCTCATTGGTTTTTGGCTAAAAAGACTGAGGCCCCAGAAAAGGGAACAAAATTGACTGAAGAAACCCCCTTTTCTGGGTGGGTGCGGTGGTTCACACCTGTGATCCCAGCACTTTGGGAGGTCGAGGCGGGAGGATCACTTGTGCCCAGCCTGGATAACTTGGGTAAACCCTGTCTCTACTAAAAATAGAAAAAATAATTAGCCGGGCACAGTGGTACAGGCCTGTGGCTCCAGAAACTCGGGAGGCTGAGGTGAGAGGATCGCTTGAGCCTGGGAAGTTGAGGCTGCAGTAAGCCATGATTGCACCAGTGTACTCCAGCCTCAAAAAATAAAAAATTAAAATTAAAAAAAGAGGCAGGGCGCGGTGACTCACACCTGTAATCCCAGCACTTTGGGAGGCTGAGGCAGGCGGATCATTTGAGGTCAGGAGTTCGAGACCAGCCTGGCCAACGTGGAGAAACCCTGTCTTTACTAAAAATACAAACATTAGCTGGGCGTGGTAGAGGGCGCCTGTAATCCCAGCTACTTGGGAGGCTGAGGCAGGAGAATCGCTTGACCCAAGGAGGTGGAGGTTGCAGTGAGCCAAGATCGCGACACTGCACTCCAGCCTGGGCAACAGAACCAAACCCTGTTTCAAAAAAAAAAAAAAAAGGAAGAAGAAGAAAAGAAAAGAAAGAAACTCCCTTCGCCTCTGTGAGCCTTACTTTTCACACCTGTAGCCCATTTAAGAGTCCCCATCCTGCCTCTTAGGACTTTGGGAAGAGCCACTGGCTCAGGGCAAGCCCCACCCTGATAGAATCTCCCATTATGGCTGGGGAGACCGGGGAACCCCCATACAAACTCCAGGGACCCCATGTCAAGGGCTGCCCCTCCCCCTGTTTAATCCTCTCACCCCTTTCCTGATGCTCAGAAGACACAAAGCTCAAGTCTAAGTCTGGTCTGCAAGAGACAGACAGACAGACAGACAGAGAGACAGACAGACAGGCAACACGGGACAGGACAGCAAGAGAAGCCACTTACCTTGGGCACCGTCAAACTTGGCTTTTTTGACTGTGGAGAGAGACAGAGATAGGGAAGGGAGACCGGGGGAGAAGTGGGAGGAGAGGGGCAGAGGTACAGAGAGAGTCAGAGACACACCAAGACAGAGACATAAGGAGAGAGACACAGAGGAGAGACAGGCAGAGATCAAAAGCAAGAGACAGGTTTTTAAAAAGATAAAGATAGAAGCAATGTCAGAGGCAGAGACAAGGGGGGGAGGAGAGGGAGGAAAGAGGAGGCAGGGATGAGAGGGAGAGAGAGAGAGAAGCCATCAGACAGATGAGCACAGGCAGCCCTAGGATGGAAGGAAATTTGGACCCTGAGAGCAGCCCCTACCCCTCCCTCTCCCTCCAACCCCTGCCCCCATCAAACTCCCCAAGCTCCCCAACTAGCTGTGCCATTACCCACAATTGAACAAGATTAGAAAGAAAGAGCTGGGCAAATGGTGGGAGAGGCCTCCTACAGGAAGCCCTCCAGGATGGCCCCAGAAGAAGAGGGGAAGTTGAAGAGGTGGAGAAAAAGAAGGTGAGGATAAAGACAATCTCTGATGACTCCACCAGCCCCTTCAGGCCCGCAAGACCTCTTCCTCCATTGTCCAGCTCAGTCTGCGATGTCAGACGCTTCCAGGTTTTGGGGAAGCCTCAAAGAAGGCTGGGCGAGGTGGGATAAAGCAACCCAGAGAGCTGGCTCTCCAAGTGCACACGGAGGGCAAGGCGCGGCAGCCCACACCTATCACCCCAGCACTTTAGGAGGCTGAAGCACGTGAACCACCCGAGGTCAGGAGTTCGAGACCAGCCTGGCCAACATGGTGAAACCACGTCTCTACTAAAAATACAAAAATTAGCCAGGCGTGGTGACGGGCACCTGTAGCCTCAGCTACTTGGGAGGCTGAGGCAGGAGAATCTCTTGAACCCCGGAGGCGCAGGTTGCGCTGAGCTGAGATCGCACCACGGCACTCCAGCTTGGGTGACAGAGCAAGACTCTTGTCTCAACAACAACAAAAGGTAACGCGGGTGGAGACACCTGCGTCCTGGCTGGAGGGCTGGCAGGGACTGTCCAGCCCCACTTGCTTGTGGGAGGTGCAACCTGAATATATGTCAGGCACCCGCCGAGGTCCAGTCTTCTCACATTTCACAGAATCCCACGGCCCCAAGAGATTCAGTGCCATTCCGCCCCCTCCTAGCACTTATAACCAGGTATTCAGTTTCCACCGCCAACACCTCTCGCAGTCTGCTCCGTCCCCCACATCTTTTTCCTCCATTCATTCTCTACTCCCACCCCCAATCTGTTCCCACACTGAGTCCTTCCTTCCTTCCTTCCTTCCTTTCCTCCCTTCCTCTTCTTTCCTTTTTTTCTTCCTTCTTTCTTTCCTTTCTTTCTTTCTGATGGAGCTTTTCTTTCTTTCCTTCCTTCCTTCTTTCTTTCCCTCCCTTCCTTCGTCCTTCCTTC